GCATATGCATTGAATAAGTCACATTGTTGTTATGTGTGATCAAGTTAGTTTCAATTCATAGCAACCTTGCGTAGGGTTTCCAAGGAAGAGCTGGTCAATTTGAAATGCCAACCTTATGGTTCACAATCGAGTGCTAATCCTACAGTGCCACATTGGTCTTGCAAAATTCTATCATGTGAATCTTCTGCATCATTTATACCACCAAGGCCATATTTTCCAACTACAGATACTTTTTGTTTCCAATCTTCATATTCCAGTCACCAGTAATTATCAGTATATCATGATTGCATATTTGATAAGTTTCAGACTGAAGAAGTTGGTTGTTGTTGTTGTGAAGTGCTGTTGAGTTGGTTCTGACCCATAGCGACCCTGTATAGGGTTTCTGAGGAGCAGCTGGTGAGCTTGAACTGCCAACCTTGCAGTTCAAAAGGCTTTGCAGTCTGGTGCATTAACCCACAGCACCACACCAGGACTCCTGAAGTTGGTAGAATTCTTCAATTTCATTATTATTGACTTTAGTGGTTGGTGTATAAATTTGAATTATGGTGGTATTAACTGGTCTTCCTTGTTGTTTTTAAGTACCAATTCTTAGTGACCTGATATAGGGTTCCAGGGAGCAGCTGGTGGGTTTTAGCTGCTGACCTCATGGTTCGTGGTACAGTGCTGATTCCACAGTGCCACACCAGGAGTCTGGTCTTCCTTGTAGGAGTATGGATATAATCCTATCACAGATAACATTGTACTACAAGATAGATCTTGAAATGTTCTTTTTGACAATGAAAGTTATGCCATTCCTCTCCAATTTGTCATTCCTGGCAAATAAACTATGACTGTCACATTCAAAATGGCTAATACTAGTCCATTTCAAATCACTCATGCCTATGATATTGAACTTTATGCATTCCATTTTATTTTTAATAACTTAAATTTTTCCTAGATACATACTTCATGTATTTCATGTTCGATTATTAATGGATGTTTTCAATTATGTCTTCTTATTTTGAGTTGTGTCCCATCAGCAAATGAAGGTCCCAAAAGCTTTACTCCATTTGTGCCATCATGGTCAACTCTACTTTGAGGAGGTAGCTTCCTCCCATTCATACTTTGAGTTCCTTCCAACCGATGGACTTATCTTTTGGCATGATATCTGACAATGTTCTGCTGTTTTTTCATAAGATTTTCAATGACTAACCTTTAAAAAGTGGCCCGCTTCTCCTTCTTTCTAGTCTGTGTTAGTCTGGAAGCACCACTGAAAACTGTCCTCCTTGGGTAACGCTACTGATATTTGAAACTCTAGTGGCATAGCTTCCAGCATCACATCACATAAGCCACCACAGTATGAAAAACTGATAGATGAGTCATGGAATAAGTAATTGGTGGTGACAGTGGTGTTCCTGGGGATTTGGGTCTAACTCTTAGCGACCCTGTATAGGGTTTCTGAGGCTGTCAATCTTTAAAGGAGCAGAAAGCCTCATCTTTCGCCTGTGTAATGGCTGGTAGTTTCAAACTGCTGACTTTGAGGTTTGCAGCCCGACTCAACCATTATGCTACCAGAGCTTCTTATTTCCTACAAAATCAGAAACTTGGAGAGACCTCCGGTTGCCAGAGTCAAAATCCTATTAATCTTGTGATCTACTGCAAAATATAATGCACCAACCATTCCTTCCACAGCCCTCTCCACATCTCAGTTGGTTTTGATAATCCATTACAATGACCACACAGAACTCAGTTTATTAGAGAAGTTAACAAGTTACAATTTGGGGTCCAAAATGCTCAGGGCACAGTTGTTCCAGTAAGCTAATAAATATCCATAGGACACACCACTACCCCATGAGCTTCAGACTGAAAAGCACATGACTCTAGCTCCATGGATCAGCAAACATAACTCCCCCCACTTAAGTGCGTAAGGCACAATACCCTACAAATAAGCTTCCTGCCGAAAGTCACTCAATTTTATTTGTTCTGTGGACTGATAAATCCACTGCTCTGTCTTATGCTCTGGTTATTGACTTTGCCACTGCTCCTTTGCCACTCCTTTGGCGTCACAGCTTTCTGTCCCAAGGCAAAGAAGGTCAAAGGGCAAGAAACCCCGGGGCCAAAAGAAAAGCCCCAACCCCGGCCTTTCCTTGAAGGGAAGGAAAACACTCCTCACACCTCTGAGATGACTTCTTTTAAAACCATGATGAGGGTTCACCTTTTTACAATTACAATCAACTTAGTTAACATCCACAGCTGAATCATGTAATCCTATCAGTAACTTCTCCCATTTACCTTTATCCAAACCCAGCAAGGCAGAAATGTTTTTTGGTGGGAATTATAGACTATGGATAAAATAGACGTTACATAATTTATTACACAACATCTTTGCTATGCAACAGTTGGAAGAAAGCTTTAGAACATAAAGGCCAATTCATGGGGGGAATGTTTTTTGGGTTATATTTATTTCTATTTATATAGCAGAAGGCAATTTTTATGAACATACTCGGAATGAAGTAGCAACCATTAATCTTTGTACATATTTGTGTCATTTAAAAATTCTATCTACGTACAAAGAAGGAGAGGTTAAGTAATAATGTTAAAGTGACTTTCTAAAGTGTTTCCACATGTATTTTCTTTTCCTCCTGGGGGGTGGATATACATATATATATGAGAGAGAGAGAGAGAGAGAGAGAGAGAGAGAGCAAAATATAGCTTTTATCCCCCTTTTGTAAAGGGATCTGCCCAAGATCACAAACTGATTCAGCACAATATTTAGCAAGTCATTTAATGTCATTCAATTTAGTGCAATGCTTGTTGAGCAAATCTGGACTCTGAGACTCTAAAACACCCCCATTCAAAATATTCCCTTTTCAAAGACTGTAAGCTCTTTTGGGCAAGGCGACAAGTAGAAAGTTGTAATTTAGATCAGAAATCACCAGTGTGCTTGAAAGGGTGTTATCTAAGCTATCAGGACACTTTCCCTGTGCTATGTTCTGCTTCTACTATAGTCCTCTTCCTAAGAGTAAGTATAGGTAGAACCTACCCTGTACCCCCTGTCCCAGCAGGCCAGAGTTCACTTGGGAATGAAATGTTTCAAATAGTTGCTTTCCTTTGTCAGATATGGGATGACTCTGGTGTTTATATTTTGTGTGAACCGAAAATTAGATCTCTGGTTAGGGAGATAAGTCACATAGGCCTTTAGATAATTTCTTTCTGATTATTTTTCTCCATTACAAAATGAATCCAACATGAGGTAAAATTGGTAAAAAAAACAAAAAACAAAACAACAAAATACTGGCTTAACTGTATTTAACATATGTCTGACACTCTTATTTTAGAGGAAAAAAGAAAGCCTTAAATGCATCCTCAGTCTTTAGTTCTATACACTCAAAGTGCAGCTCTGTAAATAGAGTGTTACTGACAGGTGTCTAGAAGTTTCTATTTCTGGGCCTCATGACCTAAGAACATCTCTGTGCTCTCAACTCCAAATCTCACTATAAAGAATCACCAAATCTGTTATTTCTCCAAATTTTTACACCTGGGATGACATAAATGTTTCTAAAACATATACTGGTGTTGGTGGTGATTATGTGCCACGGAGTCGGTTCCAACTCATAGGAACCCTGCACAGAGTTTCCGAGGCTGTAAATCTTTACAGGCTATAAATCTTTCTCCCATGGAACAGCTGATAGTTTTGAACTGCTGACTTTGTGGTTAGCAGCTTGACTCGTAAC